CTTTGATTTTTAATGGAAATGAAAGCAAGTCTGTGATGGATAGAAGTCCATCGCTTCAGTGGGTTCTACTGTTATTAAATGTGTTTTTAGATTGTGCTGACGAAAAACAGCAACATATCTTTCCAAGAAATTTCAGTAGACACAAAAACTCCAGACAACAAGAGGTGTAGAAAATTATAGGTGATCTAGGAGCTTTATAGCTTTTTTACAGCGGACGCCATTGAAAACATCTCAGCCTCACTTTCATTAGGCCTACTCACCATGACACTGCTCTGAATAAAGTCTATAGCAACACATAGTAGCCTAATTATCTATGCTTTCAAAGTTTCAAGCAATAAAAGCCAATATATTTTGCTCATACGTTTCTCTTTTTGCAGATTTTGCTGAGTATGTTGGCCAGTGGAACAATTTGGCGGAGAGTCGCTCATTGGAGACACATTCTGTTCTGCCCTCACAATAATAGCTCCGAGAGCCCAGTTTCCATAACAACAACAGGCTACCCGCTCAAAAGAGTTGCTGCATTAGCTACTGTCTTTGCAGGCTGTTTGACTGAGGGGGGAAGAGTGAGACAGTTTGTGACACAAAAGGAACAAAGGACCAACTCTTTTCATTTAATTCCCCCAAATCAAACATCAGACATGCATGCATAAAACTGATGCTGCAAAGAGAAAAACTTCTTAGACATTTCCAAAACACTCCTCTGGTTAAGGAGTCATTGATAATGAACACTAGCATGCATGCTTCAGTCATCATTCATTACGGAACCTCAGAACACCTGTTTCAGCCAATCACAAGACTGGGAATTTAATTACAGCTCCTCCTCCTACATCCTATGCGGTTGCCATGGGTTACTGCGAGTAACACGAGACTAATTCAAACAGGAATGCACAGGAACTAATTTTAGAGTCTAATATACAATATATATATGTCAATATTCAGTACATTTAATCTCAAATAATTCTACAGTGTGAATGCGGCACAGATAACAAAAGAATGCAATGAATTATGTCAAAACCACAATAATAGCGATTCATGTCGACGTCACCGAAAGGAACGTGTCATCTGTATTCTGAGTCGCTTTGTGTCGTGCTGAAGAAAATGCCCTGCAGGTTGCTGCAATTGCTGACTCATCAATCATTCGGCAGGGGCAAACTGTGAAAAAAAGATCTGTAATTGCAACTGTATCCATAAGAAAGATATTGGAATACAGATATAATATCCTTCTCGGTTAGAATGAGGCACACCCTTAATTTCCCATCTGCGCCACTAGAGGGCAGTTGAGTAACGCTTTAGATTGCTAACTCCATCTAAACTGATTTATTTTGAATTAAATTAAAACCATGTGAACTCACAAAGGTAGTTTGGGGAAATTGGGTTTAGCCTCTTAGCTGTGGGCAAATGCACGTAGCACCCCTCGAGATTATAGTACAAATGAATTTGTGTAGCATTTCACACAAAATTTCACACAAAATCAATGGATACAATGGATTCAGTGCTAATAGCTTTTCTGAATCTGCACACTGCTGTAAAACCAATCAAAGGACAGATGAAGGATTTCGACCACAGATATCATAAGTGGCCCTCATAACTGGCACGCACTGTGGGGCTCTTTCAACCCTGGGTGATCCTTAAGGAACTTAAGCAAGGAACTGTGAAAGCCCACAAACTATCTCAGACAGAAAAAAATGACAGAGCAAAAATATGACAGGCATTTCGTATTCACAGTTAGGATGAGGGCATGAACTTGTAGGCTTCAAGAAACATGAGTCAGATGTAAGATGTGCCGGGCAGACTCATGTTTAGGTGGAACTGGGTTTGGTTAACCGATCCTAGCATCTCAGCGAGAAAATTAGCCACACTGATGAGAGGAATGTAGTGAGATCATAATATCTGGGAGCTGCATGTAACATGACATATAGTTGATGAAAGGACCACACGTCACTCTATCTGTCTCTGGGTCTGGTCTGTCTCCAAAGTAATAATCATCTCACAGAAGTATCAACAACAGGCTCGGTGTTCGGTGTGAACTAGAGCCGATGGAGATCTGACCACAGGTCGAATTCCCAGACGTGTGCTTCAGAGTTAATACGGGCTATTTCTGTGTTCTGAGTGGTTGCTAGCATTGCTGGGTGGCTACATTCAAAAGAGATTCAAGAAAAACATGTTTTTTTGTTTTGTTTTGTTTTTATCTGATCCAATAGTTTATGATATAACAATATTTTGAGGGGACGGGTCGGATTTGACGCGAAATTTCCATAAACAGATATGAGAATGTTCGTTAAATGGAACTAAACTGGTAACTAAATTCTTATTATTATCGGTGGATAAGTTACATTTACCAATGTTCAGCAAATTTCCACCGGTGAAATACAATAATTTCAATTGTGAATGCTATAGTGAATTTCCCGTGAGGGCGAACGATTTTCCCACACGTTCCCCACATTTTTGATGAACTTCGAACCTGTGAATTCATTCACCAATAAGAACTGATGTAAAAAAACAACTCTGCAGGTAACATGCAATTCTATAAATAAATTATGAAAGCTTGTTTCTGCCACTGAATAAAAAATAAAAAAGGTAATTGCAACTTTTTCTCTCACAATTGCACGTTTATATATCTCGCAGTTCAGAGAAAAAAAGTCAGAATTGCAAGAAAAAGTCAGAATTGCTGACTTGAGATAGGTTATATCTCGCAATTCTGACATTTTATCTCAGATTTGCAAGTATATATCTCACAATTCTGACTTCATAACACGCAATTGCGCCTTTATATCACAATTCTGAGAAATAAAAGTTAAAATTGTGAGATAAAAAGTTGCAATTACCTTTTTTATTTTTTATTCAGTGGCGGAAATGTTAACCATAGATGAAGTTGTGTAAATAAATATTACTTTTGGAAAAACAAACAAACTTACATATGCACGCATGGATGACTTTGAAAATAAATGAAGTGAGGGAAATATTATGTATGTGTGATGCAATGTTATGTATGAAGTCAAGCAAAACTAAAAACAAATAACAAAAAAATTCAAAACAAAATAAAACACAAAAACAGTCACCGAAATTCAGATTGTTCTTTAAATTTTAATTTGAAAACATTGTCATTATCCAACAGGGAAGAAAAAAAGGGTCTGTTAAACCAATAAACTTCATTTTATCATCACATCGCAGTCTGAAGAAAGCATCTCCAAAAAGAAGAGGAGCCTAACTCACTTCTTTCCAACCACAATTTGAATGCAGATATAAAGAAAATAACTAAAAACCTTTTAACTATCCTGTACCTTCTCTTCTACTTTGCCTTGGTAGGTAAAGACTTAAAAAAAATCCAAACAAACAAAGCATATGAGAAACCTTCCAAAAGTCACGTTCACAAATAAGATGGTGCAAAACAACAAAACAGAAAAGCTTGTGGCACAGAACACGCACATGATAACAGGAAATGATGACAGGATTCTGTATCAAACATGATTAAGGAGACGAGGCACAAAGTTCATAAGAGTTGAGCTCTCAGTTGGTTTTGGCAGCTGTGTTCGAGGACAAGTGATTCCTTAGATAGATATTGAAGACAAAAAGAAAATGGTTCGCACATCCAAAATACACTTAAAAAGAGACAAAAACACAACTAGACTCGAGAATAATTTCACTTCAGGGTTGAAAACACAAACGATGAGGACTGGGGTTTTCATGTCCAGGTGTGGCGCTGGAGTGTTAGTGTTCACTAAATGTGTGCGACTATGACTCTGTAAGTGTGCGAGGTCAATAACTCACGTGAGAATTAAAATTATGTCATCATTATTCAACCTTATGTAAGTCCAAGTACATAGATATTTTAAAGAAATCAAAGCTGCTCTCTTCCAGTTTATCTCCATTCACTTTCATTGTATGGAAAAGAGCAGCACGAACATTGCTCAAAGCTGCTTCTTTTGTGCTCCACAGAAAAAAAAGACTGGAATGACATTAAGTTGAGTAAATAATGACAGAATATTGTTTTTTGGGTGAACCATCCCTATAATTGAAGAAAGGTTTCACTGTTGCCCTTAAGTTAAGTGTATGAAAGTGTATGAAAATTCAAGAAAGTCTGACACGGCTATGACAACATGGCAAAATACCAAAGCCGTTGTCCTTGCTAGCAAGATCCTCTTAGCTTTGAATGCAATCCAGCTCAATGCTAATGGTAAATTGTGAGGTATTGAAAAATAGGCTGTGTTGTAGAAGCCTAGTTATGAATCACTAGGTCATGATATGTACTTTATGTGAAAGAAACTATAGACAAACAAATGACAGAACAAACATAGAGAAACAATAAAATAACAATAGCGTTTGTTTTCCATACAGGGATCCGTTAGCCCCATCCGACCGGTTTTTATCTACGTTTATGAGATGAAATATTAAAAAAATATATGTATCAGACATTTCAATGTAACAGGTGCTGTCTCTATCAGGGTTGTGTAAAAGATTATGCAAAACTTGGTATAAAATTGTATGCCATACAGTCATAAACGTGTATGAGCTATTGATTTTCAGTCTTCACCAGATGAGCTTGGGGTCTACGGAGAGCCCTATCCTTCCCAAAACACTTCCAAGTCCATCATCCTGGCATTCTGCCCATGAATTAAATAAAAAGAACTAAATGGATAGCATTTCTAGTAAGAAATCAAATCTTAGCTATCACTCAGGCATGCTTCAATAAGTCACTATATTTTGGTTGATCCCATTTGAGGATCCTTTATGACTCGTGAGTGGCTCACTCTTGGGTCATGTGATCAGAACAGAAAGGGGTGCTAAACAGACACATCGCTGCCTCCTAGCCGAGCTAGTGCAGAGCTAGCGTGTGCGCGTTTGGATGCCCCAAATACTTCCAAAATGAACTTGCTTTTACTAAGGGGGTGATAAAAAGGGATACAGAATGTGATAAACAAGAAAGGGCCTGAAATGAAGAGAGGTTTATCACTAATACTTCTAGGCATGGCAAGGCTGAATAAAGGGAAAGAAAGGTGGCTGAGGAAGTTAAAGTGGAAGAAAGGGGCAGCAGGGGGGCTTCTTCGTACAAACTGCTACCTTCTCCCTAATCCACCTGGGCCATGCCTGAGGCACTCGATCGGATTTGTGTTCAAATGGAGCTTGCAGTGGGAGTTGTCAGTCTTTTCCCGATATAGACCCTGCATTAGAGATAGAGTGTGAGATACAAGACAAAAGAAAGAGAAATTTAAAAAGTCAGACACTTTACATGTAGAATCTTACACTGTTGTCAAGCTACATACTCATCAGGGGTGTGTGAATTGAACACTAGGTGTGGTCTCATTAACACATTTTTCTGCAAGGTCAAAATTGAGCAATTTCAATAGGAATCCACGTTAGTCACGTAAAATCGTCACGTTGACCAACAGAAAGCTGCGTGGTTTGAAAGTGACTTCATATACAGCTAGAATATTGACAATAGACTTTTTTTGTCTGCGAAATTTCACTAAAACTTCTCTAATGGACGCAACAGTGTTCAAACAGGTGGTTGCCAAACCGCTCAAGGACCGCATGATGCTTATCGCAAACGAAACTGCGAAAGTTTTCCAAAATCGGCAAGCTTCAATCTGATAGGCTGGTTATGTGCAACTTCCAGAAGTCAGGGTGCTAAGGTTTATTATTGGTCCACTGGGAAACAGAGTTGTATTTTCAAGCTACTGGGCTATTTGGAGAGAAAAAAAAATGTCATGGTATAATGCATTTCTGAGTTCCGAGAACATAAATGACTGAGCCAAGTCGTATTTACGAGTGGGAAAGTTGAAATTCTAGGTGATAAATTGGAAGGGGTGTGTTGATTTGAAACACTGATCTATATCATATAATATATCAGTTATATAGAGATGAGTGAGCGAAAAGCAAGTAGTGAATGAAGGATTTTGCAAAGCACGGTTTGCTTTATGGTTTGGTAAGATGTGCAATCTTTATCATTTTGTTTTTTTCAAATGTAGTTATTTGGGTTTGTTCTTGTTTGTTGGAATAATTGTTTTGGAGTTTTTTAGGCAACCTCCATGTTATGATTATGAATGCGTAACGTGTTGTAGTAACAAAAGCCGTACATGTTTCCTGGGTGCACTTGAAGGCAGCTTACACTAGGTGTGAAGTGTGATTGTGTTTTAAGGTTTATCTACCCGAGACCCAGGACTAGGATGTGGGACAGAAGCAGCGAGGGGATAAACACTTTGAGGAACTCAGCAGAGAAGATGCCTCCTTTCTTCATGGCTCCCGTCTTCCTCATGCTGAGAGTCACTGAACGCCGCGGGTGCCGGAAATGAAACTCCCTGTCAGAAAGATAAACCCAACACATCATCAACAAAACAGCATCATACTGCTTCACCTCAGGATCACTACAGCGCAAACTCAGGCTCCGAAACGACATAATTGGCAACGACCATAACTGATATTTTTTTGGCTTTTTTTCTATATTTGGGTCTTTGAGGGTTAAAGGGATAGTTCACTTTGGAATTAATTTTTTATATGTTTTAGCTTACCTCAAGGGCATCCAAGATGTAGGTGTCTTTGTTTCCGCAGTAGTTTCAATTTAGATATTTTTAGGTCAAACCGTTCTTGTCTGTTAGTCATATAATGCAGGTCTATGGTCACTTCCTCAAAGAGCATGTACAGAGAAGTCCAAATTAAACATGATTTAATGACTCGTAAATGTAAGTACACATTGATGGCCTAAGACACGAAACGAGCGGTTTGTGTGAGAAAACGAACAGTATTTATATCGTTTTTACCTCTTGTAAACACAGCCACGTCCAAGTGATCCCTCGCGCGTGTACGTCACTCATAAAATTGTTTTATTTTTGATTTTTTTTAATTGTTTTCTTTTACGATGGTTTAAACATCCCGGATAAGCGCAAATTAGTACAATTTTAATTAGCCATCTTACCTACAATCTCTGTTCTGTGTAAACAATGAGTGACGTACACGCACGAGAGATCACTTCCGGCGCTTGCCGGAAAAGACCGAAGCGCCGGCGCCCTCAGATCACTTGGACGTGGCTGTGTTTACAAGAGGTAAAAACGATATAAATACTGTTCGGTTTCTCACACAAACCGCTCGTTTCGTGTCTTAGGCCATCAATGTGTACTTACATTTACGAGTCATTAAATCATGTTTAATTTGGACTTCTCTGTGCATGCTCTTTGAGGAAGTGACCATAGACCTGCATTATATGACTAACAGACAAGAACGGTTTGACCTAAAAAGATCAAAATTGAAACAAAGTGAACTATCTCTTTAAGAAGTTTTGTTTGGACCAGAATGCCGTCTATTTTTTGACTGAAACCTTTGATCGTGACCTGTGGAAATATCTGTATGCCAGCAGGATTATTATAGTGAACTAAAACTAAAGCTAAAACCACTAAAAAAAAGTTTATTTTCATTACTTGAATAAAAATAATCATTAACAGAAATAAAATTGCCAAGCGAATTGCCGAGACAACATTTCTCAATTTAATTTAGTTTAATCTGCTGCACAACTAAAATTTGATGTGAAGCTAAAACTGAAATAAAAATGAATAAAACTATACTATTAAATATGAATAAAAACTAGTATATCAATGACACTAAAATAATACTAGTCTTACTTGGGCGGAACGTTCTCTGGTCTACTTGACCAGTCTGACACCCGATCTGAATCCTTCATTAAGATGTCATCATCTCTGATCTTCTCCATGACAAGCTCCTGAGGGACACCCACACACACACACACACACACACACACACACACACACACACACACACACAAAGACAGACAGGTAATGAAGATAAGCCAGAGTACGTTCCATAAATTAGATGATCCACAATGTTCTCGAGAGGAAGTACCTGACTGTCTCTCCTCATGTCCACGTCGAAGATGATCTGCCCTTCATCCTGAGGACTGGGGGGTCGAGGAGGGCTGTGGGAGCGAGCAGTTCGGAGTATGTTAAGACATGGCTTAAATTTCATTCTGTTCCTCATAGAAAGTTTTCGTATGACTTCAGAAGACGACTTTTATGATAATTTGTTGCAATTTTTTCCCTTTATGGCAATATGAATCACCTATCGGTTTCATAGTATGGGAAAGAGTAGCTTGGACATTTTGCTAAACATCTTTTGTGTCAAAGAAGGTCATACAGATTTGGGAATGACAATTAATGTTTTTGTTTTGTGTGTGTGTGTGTGTGTGTGTGTGTGTGTGTGTGTGTGAGAGAGAGAACCATTACTGTAGTGAGTGAGAGGAATTAAGCCTGTGTACATATGAGAAAGAAACACTGTATTCCTAGAGTAAACATCCTGAATCACATGATTCACTGACTTTGAATGAGATAAGGGTTATTATGACCGTATCCTATCAGTGTGAGGTCAGTGTGACCAAGTGTAATTTCGTATGGATGTTTATAGCACCACTCTCTATCTATGAGGTCATTAAACTCAAGCTGTGAACTATTGACATTTGCAGATGATATTTGTGCACGTGCACTGTGAAAACAACATCTTAAAGGGATAGTTCACCCAAAAATGGAAATTTGAATTAAAATGTTTTGCTATAAATGACATCAATATGTTGTCTACCTGCCGCACGAGGAGTTACTGCGGCTGGATTCGTGCTGGGCATCCAGCAGGATTTTTTCCATGTCTCCATTGTGGATGGAAGACGATGAGGGAACGTGTTCCAGCCCCCCGACCATCCCATCATCCTCCTCTACTACCTGGTCTAGAGGGGGCGGCACTGAGGCGCTGGAGGAAGAGAGAGATGCAGCGTTTCTGTTCATCTCCAGCTCTACCCATGACCCTAAAAAAGACATCACAAAAATATCACAACAATAAATATTTTTAATAAAATGTTTTCAGCTATGAGAATATATGTATGCACCAAATATCACAAAGCTTCATATTTTGGTTAATAATTAATTCCCCAAAATCATTCTTTGCTCAAAGAAAATTAAACCTGTTTTAGGACCATTATGTTTTTGTTTTTTTCATTGTAACATTGTGGATTTTTTTCATTGTTATCATGTGTAGTATTCATGCATTAGTAGTAAATTAGTAGTTTTTCAAAGTTGAAATGTCTTTAACATGATCTTAAAAATGTGGCGCTCATTGCAAAAGATACAGAACAAACAGAATGAAGTCGTGACGTAACAACCAAATGACGAAATATGTTAAACTATTTAAAAAAATTGTGCTGTTGAAATGCAAGGAAACGTCCTGAGAGATCGGGCTATAATTTTTTTAAACAGAAAAAGTGAGTTTTTCCTCAGCTATAGGAAAGATGTCACTGTGTTTATAGCACTGATTATTTGAATATGTGCTACTAAAATTATAATTAAACTCTGTAAAATCATGTAGTTGATCCCATGAAAAATGTGCAAACGCCCCTAAGGGTTTTATTACTTCTAGTAATTTTCTTTAGATGTAAATTTTAAAGGCATAAACATAGTAAGACTTTTATTCAGCAAGGACCCATTCAACTGATCAAAAGAGAGTACACATAGCCTATATAATGTTCGAAAATATTTAAATAATTTTTTTTGACCATCAAATCAGCATATTAGATTTCTAAAGGATCATGTGACACTGAAGACTGGAGTAACGATGCTGAAAATTCAGCTTTGGAACTAATTGAATTTTAAAATATATTTAAATAGAAAACAGACTGTTTTTTTTTTAAGTTTAATAACATTATACTGTATTTTTAGTCAAATAAATGCAGAATTGTTGAGCATTAGAGACTTCAAAAACATGAAAAATTCTTACCAACCCCAAAACATCATAGTACATAGTACATCTGCTTAAAGGCACAGTATGTAAGTTTCACCGCTAGAGGTCGCTTATTCAAAACAATAACAAAGACGCCATGAATGAGCGTGGAATCATGGGAGTTGTCATCTTCACCTTCACAGCTGGTGGAAATCAATCTGACGGCACTCAGGCACTAATCATTTTCATGCATGAGCTACTGTCTGTATTAAAGTTTTATTAACGTAACTGTGGTATGAAGCAGGGCGGAGACGACAGCTTGTGAGATTTTACGTTGTTGTTTTTATTATGCTTATGTCGCCGTCGGCCGCTGTCGCTTATGCGTTAGCTCAGTGGCTATTATGAGACGCTTAGCTAGATCAATATTAGAATATCATATTAATAACAACTGGATGACTTGTGTTGCAAAATGGCACGCAATTTATTTTAAAACATTGCATGGTGGAGAAAATGCCGTTTTACTGTTACAACAAATAAAGCTCTTTCTGATTTTGCTGTCAGCTACTTAACAAAATAGTGTTGTCTGATTGACTTTTTGTGTATAAACATGTTACTCGCGGTAAATCAAGAAAACAAAGGATTCAGACAATAAGACTAACTGTGTTGAGCTATATAACAATGACAGTTGCTCACCTGTCTAATAAAACATACCAGTAATATATTCAAGAGTCTTTGGAAATCGAGGGTAATGCGGATATGACATCCTTGACAGGCGAAGCAATGCCACGGGGTGTTACACTGGTTAAAATAGCTGATTTCTCTGGATTTAAAACATTGTTGGAAACATTTAGGACAAGTCACCAAAATATCTAACATTGTTCTAGTGAATTTTGGATATTTTAATCCAAAAATCTTACATATTGTGCCTTTAAAATCATTTTTGTTAGTATGTAGATGACCTAAAAGCTTGGACTACCAGATAAAAACTCAAATTTATTGACATACATTGATTTTTAAAAATGTAATACAGTACAAAAATGCTGTATTATAATAATGAGAATCAACACTGACTACTAGAAAAGCAAAACGTCTGGTAAAGACAATTTGATAGGCAAATGTACTTAGTTAAATAAAATAACATCGCAATGCAACAAAAACAAACAAAAAAATAGATTAAAATTTTTTGTTTACTTAATTTTGGGGAGAAGTGACCTAGAAATGACACTGTATCCACTGTATCCTGAGACAGTGGGTTCTCCCTGTAAGTCGATGGTGGTATGGCTTAACTTTATTTACTGTGTGGTGAAAGGGCAGTAAATGCCTCCCTCTCCGGCTCATTACGAGCCCACCGATATACATTTCACACCTGACCTCACTGCCACATACTGTACATGAGTCTGAGCAGGAACACACTTCTCAGAAGACGGCCTAATAAACACAAACACACAGACTCCTTTCATGCATGAGACAGGGATGAGGACGGGACGTTTTCCGCGTTCCCCTTTCCCCCACATCTGTTGTGCTGTCTCATCAGAAACCTCTGTGTTATCGCACAGTGAATCCTCTGTTTACCACTGACTTAACACGCCGCTCCTGTTCACTGCTGACCAACCAGGATGAGCTAAGTATAAACTGAATGCCTAGCAAGCCAAAGCCCCACTTCCAGGAAAACAAAAAGAGGAAGACAAAGAAGGTCCACATGACTTCCATGGGTTGAGCAAACATGGATCATGTGACATGGTTCCTGCATTGACTTTACTCGACTCCATCTTCCCATCGCTGGTGAAACTCGACTGACCTTTGTCTCAATCCACTGACACAAACAGTGTTGCTATGGCAGCAGGCGAGCTGAACATTCTGGCTAGTGGTGGAACATGTTGCTTTGGCTGGCATCGGGAAACAGACATAGATCAAAAGATCAGATCTATGATAGTATTACAGAGGCTTATGCTCGCTCATTTATGAAATGCTAAAGCATCAGGGCTGCAAAGTGATAGATGTGTGGCCATGTTACACAAAAATCCGTGGTAAGACGGCTAAATCTTTCAAAAAATACTAAATAAATTATAGCTATTTTGCAAAAAGAAAAGTAATTTTTGTATTATGTGATTTAGAATTAAGCACATTTTACCCCACATTCTCATTATTGTTAGAATTTTTATTTTTTTTGCATTATTGTAAAAATGTTGTTGTTAATTCTTGTAATTCTTAATGATGATTCATAATAGATATTACATTATTTATTGTATACTGGGTGAATATATACATTATATATATATATATATTTATTATATATACATACACACGACTTTTATGCGTACCGAAGCTGCATTTATTTAATAGAAAAACAGTGTCACGTGATCCTTCAGTTGCAGCTTTGCATAATATTCTGAGTTTGCATTCCACTATTTTTATTCATTTTTATGAATACTGAATCTGTTTTTGTGCCAGTGAGATGAGTAAATGCATGCTCACATTTAGTCTAGAACTACAGTATCCAACATGTTTACACACAACGCCTCTGCACTTACTTCCAATGTCTCTCAACATGCAGACTGGAGAGGAGTGTCAGTCAATAAATGGGAAAACAAAAGTAACTCAGACATTTTGTTGTACATTTAAAAGTAATGTGTTACTTTACTCATTACTTGAAAAAGTAATCGGATTACATAACTTGTGTTACTTCTGCATTACCCCCAACACTGATTGTCCCCAATAATATCAACACTTCGTTTAAATAGATGTATTTTCAACTTATGAGGAGAAAATACATTTTAGCCATTTAATATTTGACTAAACTGCAAATTACCAGACTACTTTTGTTTATTCAGAACAAACACAGAACATTATCAACAACTTTTAAACACAATTTATAAATAAAAATGAATATGTAATATTATTATACAGTCTCCATACTTTTGACTTTATGGAAGAAATATGACCCGTACATGTTCTTGACAGGTTTTGAGAGATTAATCTATTACTCTTTACACGTCCTCCAGCTGGCAGTCATCAAGTCTAGTACACAGCCAGACTGATCCAAATGATCAAACCAACACTGTTTGCAAAACGCTGAGCCATCTGTTGCACACCCAAAGAATCTGGCCAACACGAAGATATTATTTCACTTTCCCTGAAGAATCTCCCCGATTCACTAGTTTTCAGCACTAGTGCATTTGGAAGCTGCTCGTCACACAGAAGAAAGTCTGCCTCATTTGTGGGAAACCAAGCGTTTTATGATGATTATTTGTAGCCTATTATTTCTTTCTTTTTTTCTCCAATGTATTTTATTGGAGAAAAATATTCAAAATTTCAAATACAGATGAACTTAGCAGAACATTTATTTATTTTTCAAATATATGATATGATGTGATACATGCACTTTATTTGTCATGACTCAATCTCCTAAACTAACACGCCCAATTCTATTCCTTGACTTTCTTTCTGCCACTTTCCACACACAGACAACACAGTCTGGACCACATTCGCTTCTGCTAGGAATAGAATTACGAATACTACTATGGTGAAAGCTTAGCTCATGAATATTAACTAAGTTCTGCTCACACTTCTTTGAAGCTTCCCTACACAGTTCGGTCACGTAGCTTAATCAATATTCATTTCCAGTAGTTTATTGGCCAGTTTACTAACGTCCATATTCTAACGTCTGCCTCTCAGCCAATCAGTAAAGGCTTACTGGATCGGTGCGTGATTAATATTCATGACGCGAGCCTTCTCCATAGTAGAGTGAACTGTCGTCCTGAACTAGGGGTCACACACAGCTGTGAGGACTGGTCACAGCGCGCACGTAGCTCACTCAGCATTACATTTAGCATCAGTTGCTTACATTATAATGGCAGTTGAAATATACTTCCCAATATCCGTGGTCTGAATATTTAGACAGCGAGATTTAGCAGTCTGCTCTTTGCATTTCAGAAAGCATACCAGGAATTTCAACAAGATTTATTTTAGTATCTCTAGTCTTGTAGGAATTTCCACTAATGTTGCGACCAAAATTTTTATATAGTGTCTCTCCATACGAATGAACTGATATGGTCTTTAAATAGTAGCATGACAAATGTTTTTGGGACAAATCCATACATAAAGTGATAATGAATTTGCTTGTCTGGATCTAGACGTTAATGGGTATATTTTATCGGCTTCAAGTTAATTATAACCGCATTTTACATGGTTTTTCGTCTACTAAGTAAATTAAATACTAGTTAAGTTAAATCAAAGTGTTCAGAGGCCAATTACTAGACCAGTTTGTTTGCAACCTCGTATATTTCAAACAAAGACCTTATTCGCTTGCACATGTCAATTCATATTTGTCAAACAAATGTGAATAAAAAACTAGAGCACTCTCTCATTATCACGCCAGAGTAACACATATGTTACATATTTAATGAAACAAATAAAATGAGGTTTCGAGCATCCACAATCTCCATTTTCGAGTTGCTCTAGTTCGCCTTGTTGACATCGGCTATGGCCAGCCTACTGAAAACGTAAAGTCAAACTACTGGTTTAGACAAAAGTCAATCACGTTTTAAGGCCCGCCTCAACACATAAACTCAACGGCCATTGGACAGAACGCTTGTCAATTAACGTGACGGACTTGTTTTACAGCAAACCCCGCCCGCTAACTGTATGGCACAAAAATGTTGACTGGAACTAAAGAAAAACATGTTTTACATTAAGCAAAAGAAGTAAAAGTATCAAAAACACCAATACAGACACGTCAAAGGCTTCTTTAACAAAGTTTATAAATGTCAGAACAATACAGCGAGGTGCTCTGCCAGTACATACCGTTTAATCCAGGCTCCCCGTTGTTGTCTGCTGGAGCAGCAGCGTCGGACATCATCGTGCTGTGTGTTGTTGGGCGGCTTGCATAAGACTGACAGCAGCACAGCACGAACACACTCTGCGCGCTCACGCGTGACGGTGCCTGACAGCAGATCGGAAGATCTGCGGAGCGGACCCTTTTAGATTCGTTAATAACAGTTTTCTGTGGCTGACCCCAGAACAGTGCTGGGAGTGCAGATTTCCTGTAGCGCTAAAGTGACGCAAACGGGTGCATATCTAATAACAAAGACACTAACATTACGTAAAGAAGTCAGGGTACTGCTTATTTATAAAACGCACGTGAATTATGGACACAGCTTGTCAATAAACTAAAATGCCACATGGCAAGCCCATTTAACATTTTCTTAAAACCAGTGGGCCTATCTATTGTTGTTACAGTAGTTTTTAATTAGCAAGTCATCCAATAATGGCAACTATCTTATTCAATATTCACTACTAACTTTTTTTATTTAACTGTGATTTATTTTGGTCCATAGTGCATTTTCATTAGATACTCCCCACCCCTACCGATACAATAACAAATTGCAACTTTTAGCCACTGATATATTTATTAGATATCAACTAGTATAGGCCTATATTCCAATTGTTGCTAATAAATATTTACTAGCTAGCTACGTCAAATTGCTTTCTATTCCAGATTCACTAATAGGCTACCCATTTATAGACACTGGTATGTTCCAGGATTACCACTAGAACCATTTTAAAGTCCTGATTTAATCATGACAGATCATTTCTTTTGTGTTGAGACATATACCCCTAATGAAGCAGCTGCTTATTGAAAAGTTTCACCAGAAGTTTGAGTTATAACATTTTGAAGATAAAATTATACCTATAAAAACCTACCTAGATCAAGTAACCTGCATTTACAAAAATAGATAGGGTTTTTTTCATTTAATTTCTTACTATTACAATTTTTAATTGAACTTTAAAGTTGCCATTCTGACCATTCATCACTTATGACAATTAAAACAGTTTTAGTTTATCTAGAGATTTTAGAGAAATACTAGACTTAGACTATAGTACTAGTATTATTAGTATCTCTATATATATATGTAGTCGGTTCTACTCGACCCGCTCCGAGCAGGATTCGAACCCAGGTCTCCGGCGTATGCGCACTAACAAGGACCCTAAAGACGCTAGTGCGTCCCTTCAGGCCAGGGGAGTGAGGTTTACACGCACAGCTCTTACTAGCTTACGTCCGTTACACTCACCCCCTAAACCTCACGCCCATCCGGTTCATGGCACCAAATGTAAACAGTCCTACTCGACCCGCTTCAAACGGAATTCAAACCAGGTTCTCTGGCGTGGGATGCTGGCATGCTAACAAGGACTCTAATATTTCTGCCTTCACTATGTGGTTTCCTTTTTTTTTGGTTTAATCACGTATTTAAAAAGATGCGATCAATGTTGCTGATCCATAATCTTAATCGTCTGAGAGGATATTTGCCTCCAAAATGCTCAGAGCAATCATCATACATGCACATTTTAAAATATAGAACCTCCCTTATTGTTCTCAATAGCATTTAATATTCTATATTGGTTTGACGACACTCAAATACTTCTCAGTTTTGCACGAAACAAGCTTTGCATATTTCAAAGAAGGACACGACTCTAGTTTAATTGTTTGTTCCGTTTATAAATACCATTTCATTATCATAATCTCTATAATCTTTCTCAACGTGTAACTCTTGAGATAGAGAGAGTGTAGACAGAAACCGGGCATGAGTCACAAAGGAAAATAAACCCTGTAAGGCTGAATGAGTGAGCAGTCCAACTGGAGTGTATGTGCTTGAACAAGTGTAGATGTAAGACTACTACAGCAAACACGGCAATGCCGTCTGTGCCACAGAAAAAGAACAGGAAAAGCTCTTTGGGCCAATGTGATGAGGTGGGTATGAGTGCGTGGATTTCTTAAAAGAAACACGGCTGAAACCATTTGGAGCTGTATGGAGTGTAACGGGACATTCCGAAATGTAAAAAGTAGTAAACTAAACTAAAAAAAAAAGAAAAAGAAAAAATCTTTAAAAAAAAAGAAAAATCAGAAACATATTCTTGAAACAGAATTAAAACAAACTAAACAACTTGGCAGTTTCTCTGAGAAGATTAAAAAACGGTTACAATGGCACGAACAACATATCAAGGATTAAAGGACACAGGGACACATCCACATGAGTTCAAATTAGTTTTTATACAGACACCTTGAGTAAACCAAAGCCAAAAAACCTAAAAAAAAAACCTATGGTTGAAATCTGTCAGATTGCCGCCCATTTCGTCCCTGGGCTCGGACTTGTGGGTAAGGGGAAAAGGGATGGAGGGTACAGACACAGGTTGGCACAACATCACCAGAGCGAGGCGCGTGTCATGGTGCCACAGAGGCCAAAGCCAGGTTGCGCTCTTCTCCAGACCAGTCTGAACCAGTTAAAGTATTGGTAGCCGCAAGTTGGCTCGACTAGTTCATCCTGTCCTGGAGTAGGCCAAGGTTGGTAATGTGATGATGGTGGTTGTCACAGAAATGATTTTTGCTAGTTCATCTTTTTTGTTTCCACATAGAGAGAGAGGTTCGGAGGTTTTCTTTCCCCATGACGACAGTATTAGTTCACTTTTTCCTGGAAGATGTAGAGGTTGTTGGTGGTTGCCACGGCGATGATATTTTCCTGCGGGTGCCAGGCGGTGTGTAGGATCTTCTTGTTGAAGTCCAGGCTGTCCACGCTGATCTCGTCCTTCTTCCGCTTGCCGCCCGCGCAAACCCTGCGCGGCTTCAGTACCTGCCGAGGCTTGCAGCTCTCGCGCGAAGCCTCCAGGGTGACGTCCCGCCGCTGGGAGCGATCCAACATTCGGAAGAAGTTGTTGTAGGATCCAGTCATCACCACACTAAGACAAAAGACGACAACCAGAAGGACAATGCCGTTAATAAACCCGATTCGGCTAGTTACAGGGATAGTTCACCCAAACATGAGGGTGAGTAAATGACAGAATTTGTGTCGTTCCAAACCCATAAGAATTGTTACTTTTTTTTAAACACAAAATAATCTATTTTAATGAAACCTGAGAGTTTTCTGTCTCTCAATTGAAAGTCCAGATAACCAAAAATTAAAAGAAAGGCGTAGTAAAATTATGGAAGCTTGTTTCGGCCATTGACTTTTTTTTCTTCCTTTAAAAAAAAAAAAAAAATCTGGATTGTAAGATAAAAAGTCAACCACTTTGAAAACAAGCAACTAATCCATATGAATTGAACGGTTTAAACCAAACTTGCAAAGTTATTTGATCGCTTTATATGACAATATGATATATATACACAGTGAGGAAAATAAGTATTTGAACACCCTGCTATTTTCCAAGTTCTCCCACTTGGAAATCATGGAGGGGTCTGAAATTGTCATCATAGGTGCATGTCCACTGTGAGAGACATAATCTAAAAAAAATATCCAGAAATCACAATATGATTTTTTAACTATTTATTTGTATGATACAGCTGCAAATAAGTATTTGAACACCTGTCTATCAGCTAGAATTCTGACCCTCAAAGACCTGTTAGTCTACCTTTAAAATGTCCACCTCCACTCCATTTATTATCCTAAATTAGATGCGCCTGTTTGAGGTCGTTAGCTGCATAAAGACACCTGTCCACCCCATACAATCAGTAAGAATCCAACTACTAACATGGCCAAGACCAAAGAGCTGTCCAAAGACACTAGAGACAAAATTGTACACAAGGCTGGAAAGGGCTACGGGGAAATTGCCAAGCAGCTTGGTGAAAAAAGGTCCACTGTTGGAGCAATCATTAGAAAATGGAAGAAGCTAAACATGACTGTCAATCTCCCTCGGACTGGGGCACCATGCAAGATCTCACCTCGTGGGGTCTCAATGATCCTAAGAAAGGTGAGAAATCAGCCCAGAACTACACAGGAGGAGCTGGTCAATGACCTGAAAAGAGCTGGGACCACCGTTTCCAAGGTTACTGTTGGTAATACACTAAGACGTCATGGTTTGAAATCATGCATGGCACGGAAGGTTCCCCTGCTTAAACCAGCACATGTCAAGGCCCGTCTTAAGTTTGCCAATGACCATTTGGATGATCCAGAGGAGTCATGGGAGAAAGTCATGTGGTCAGATGAGACCAAAATAGAACTTTTTGGTCATAATTCCACTCGCCGTGTTTGGAGGAAGAAGAATGATGAGTACCATCAAAGTCCTTTTAGGCAAGTCAAGCCACTCGGCCGCCATCTTGGCAACGCCTCCGGGCAGCTATTTCGGACTAACAAGACCAGGCTCCTATCTAAATGAATGGGCAGAGAGTCCGAACTGCAGTTTCACTGGTCACAAGGACATAAAAACTGCATGTATAGAAACAGCAGTAAAATATGATAAAAATCGCTGAAAAAGTTTGATGACTTTGCCTCAAAATAAGGTTTAAAATGCCTTTTTCCCCACAGGTTATACTTTTACTATGCATGCGCAAGGGTTCTCTCCCTCAGTCGTGCGCGCGCTACACAGTTTGAAGCACAGTATGTGCGCGCTCTTGCTCGCTCTCTCTAGATTCCGGGAGATTTGAACTAATTTGCGGGCATCAGGGAGCCGCTATCAATCTGCGGGAGACTTCTGATGTCTGATATTTACACAACTCACACATACACTGCATATCAAATCTGCCGCCTTTTCAAACAGTAACGTATTTTGCGCTGTCGCAAACCTCAACTGTGCGCATGCGTCAGTGGAACCAGACGATAGGCTTAAATGTTTCCCGGCTTGACTGTTAAAAGCAGACGATTGGCTTTCCATCGGGAGGGGCGGGACATGTGCATACAGCCGCCATCTTTGGCGTTACGGGTTTTCCCTATATAGTTGTATTAAGGATTGATGAAGTGGCATGTCTCTATATAAATAGTCTCTGGTACCATCCCAAGAACACCATCCCTACTGTGAAGCATGGGGGTGGTAGCATCATGCTTTGGGGGTGTTTTTCTGCACATGGGACAGGGCGACTGCACTGTATTAAGGAGAGGATGACCGGGGCCATGTATTGCGAGATTTTGGGGAACAACCTCCATCCCTCAGTTAGAGCATTGAAGATGGGTCAATGACAATGACCCGAAGCACACAGCCAGGATAACCAAGGAGTGGCTCTGTAAGAAGCATATCAAGGTTCTGGCGTGGCCTAGCCAGTCTCCAGACCTAAA